GGATTAGATTCTTCAACAACAGTCAAATTATTTATATCACTTAAAACTAGATCTAAAGTCCTACCAGTTACATTTAATATATTATTTTTTGACACCAAATTATGTAAACTACAATAATACATTAATTGTTTGCAAGTCTCATTTCCCTTAGATAAATCATATCCAGACCCTACAATATGCTGATTAAAATCCCCTATTACTATTATATGCTCTTGTCTACGTACAAATGAATCCAACTTATCAAAAAATGATTTGTAAGAACTAACATGCGAGTTTGGTGGAAAATAAACTACAGCTAATATCACAGAAAAAGTTTTAGTAAATTTTAAACTAGCCCAAATATTATCTCCATCCGTTTCTAATTCAACTAATCTCTGGATATTAATAGATTCATCTACTGCTAACAGAACCCCACCACCCCTACTCTTCCCTGTAAGCATTACATCTCTATCACGTCTCAATACAGTATAATTGTCTGGAAAAAGTTCAGAACTGCTTATTGAATGTGTAAGCCAAGTTTCAGTGAGTGCTACTATTGGATAACAGTTCTCTAATAAATTTAAACGGAAAGTATTTAATTTGGACCTTAAACCTCTAACATTCTGATAATAAATTACAACCTTATTGTTTTCCATTTTTTTTTATAATACACATGCAGACTAAACAAAAGAAAACATGCAAAATGAATAAATATATATCATGCTTAAATTTATATTAGATTTAAATACATAAATAGGAACATACTTGAGGTTTATTTTAACAGGTCAAGGTCGGCTTTTTCAGTGATGTGGACCGGTCTCGCACCATCCTTCTGTCGTAGGAACACCTTCCCAACACTGGTTATCCAAGCGTACTTGTAGCCCTTGTCTTCCTTAAACTTGCGCGTCGCCTTCCAGAGGTCCATGGTCTCCTTAGTGAGTGACAGGTTGACGTACACCTGGCTCTCGCTGTTGTAGCCTAGCTCTGCTGCTGAGAAGCCGTTCTTCACTCTGGTCTTGCTCCTCATCATCTCCATGTCGATGCGCCGGCAGAATTTGATTATAATCCCCCTCGGCACCTCAGGGTCATTGAGGTTCGGTGAAAGACGATGAACGGCATCAATCATATGATCTTCTAATTGGAAGTTCAGCGCACGAGCCACTCTCTTCACTATATGCATAATGTTTTCTTTCTCAACGTACGGAACTCCACGTATTTCTAGGCAATTACTTCGTGAATACTGCTCTGCTGCGCGTTCGGCTTTTTTAACAGCGATTAACTCCTTCTTCACAAGTTGGTTCTCCGAAGATAGACGCTCTATTGTATTTTCGTACTGCATCAGCTTTTGTTCTTGTTCATCAATTTTTTTCTTGCAATTATTTATCTCTTCACTGCAAAAGTTGATTGACTCATTTACATCAGTTTTCAAGTCCTTAATATCTTGCTTAATTCCTAAAATATCATCACTAAATTTTCTATTGTCACTCTTTATATCAGCAATATCTGTCAACAATAAATCGAGTTTCTGATCGACGGTCATGTCACTGGAGCTATTGTTGCGTGTAGCTCTGGTTGGTGGTGCCATCACGCGGCGTGATTTGAACTAGTCGGCGTGCGGCGCGTGTCACGTGACCTTGGACTCGACCCGGAACACTGATTATAACCTGTTAACTAGGTTAGGTAATTAACTGATTGTGAGTTTAATTTGGTGGATAGTTATATAGTACTTACTGGAAACGTTCAAGCACTCATACACAAACAAACACAAAATATAATGTTCGCACAAAATGTTCAGTTAACTCATATATTGCACTGATTTCCCGGAGCCGATGTGACACACGACTAGACAGCTGACATGTTATCCCCTCTCTCACAGAAGTTGCTTCACATATGTCACGTTTAGTTACACGGGGACTACAACACAAAGGTCTGCTAACAGATTCAAGAAATACGGATTTTCAATAGCCTACAGGACTCAGAACACCATGAGTAAAATACTGCATCCAAAAATAGAAGATTGTAACAGATTCGATGCTTCGGGCATCTATAAAATGAATTGTAACGATTGTGATAGCTTCTACATTGGACAGACTGTGAACTTCGTCAACCACTTCAAAAACCACATATCTGCATGGAGAAACAACAAACCGGAAAGATCAAATGTCGCACATCACCTGTTAATGGACACTCAATAGGAAAAATGGAGGATAGGATAATCTATGTATTTTGAAGAATTGTAAGAAAGGATATGTAATGAATGCTTGGGGAGAATTGTATATTTATAAGGAAAAATGTAAAAATAGAAATAAGTTGATTAATCAACAAGTAAATTTTGATTCCAGTTGTACTTATAAAAATGTATTGGCCGGTGCTTCCGGTAGCCAATAGGGTATAAGTAGGGACGCCATTCAAGATTCTTGTCATTTGCCTATTAGGTCTGATGATGATTGGAGTGTCCAATCAAAATCCATCACCACTTACCATCTTTTTTGTATATTTACCGTTTTGTGAGTAACAGTATAAGCGTAAATATATGTTTAAGTGTTATAAGACGTATCTTTAATTTACTTTCCATTAATTTTATGGACACTCAGCGCATCTGGAACAGCTTATTGTGCACCCTCATTCTCTGTCAAATCCCAGGTCCTTTGTGAACCATGAGATCCTTTTGACTATGGTGACCTGTTCTTCCCTTTGATCTCCAGTCGATAGGCCGAGGGATCTCATGCGCAGCCCTTTTAGGGCTGGCCACATAAATATCACGTGGAATGCTGTCTCCTCCTCCTCTCCACATTTCCTACATAAGAGGCTTTCAACTTGAATTCCCATCTTGTGTAGATACCCAATGGCCGCTAATGAAGCGAACCACCTTCCGCAGGGTCTTCCTATTCAGCCCAAGGGCATCTGCTGCTATCGCACCAGTAGGTGTCTGCAGCATTCTCTTTGACTGTACATTGCTTTCTGTTCTTTCCCAGCTCCTTCGATGCTCTATGCCCACCCACTGGTGGACAGATCTCCGTCCTGTGTTGTAACCAATACCACACGTCGGCTCTGGACCCATAAGCGGGCTTTCAGCTCCTTTGTTTGCCCACTTGTCAGCTCCCTCATTGCCAGCAATACCTTTGTGCCCTGGAACCCAACTAAGGATAATCTTGTTGTTCTTTCCCATGGCCTGATGACAGTCCCATACAGCCTTGGAGGTAAAGTCAAAACTGTCAAGTGCCATTAGTGCTGCTTTGCTGTCTGAGTTCATGTATACAGTGTGGCCTGTAAGACCACGCTTCAAACACACTCTTGCACACTTGGACAGGGCAACAATTTCTGCCTGGAATACAGTGACCATTTTCCCCAGGCTTACGCAGAACTGCGCCATGGGTCTGACTCCATATATTCCAGCCCCCGTGCCCGTTAGCTTTTTCGAGCCATCCGTATACCAAGTGATCCCCCTTTTCATGTATTCAGATTCACCCTTGTCCCAGGCAGCCCTGTCAACAATGTTGACATTGGCTTTTCTAGATCTGTGATCTTCACCATCGTGTCTGGTAACATTTCCAAGGTGTTCATCTGCACCTTGTCCACAATTCTTGTGTGCTCACTGGAGGCATTAAACTTCCAGTTGCCACTGCAAGCCATTCTGTAGGCTGCCATCCTTGCCTCTCCTTTCATAATAATGTCAAGAGGTGGCAGGTTTAGCACTACTTCAAGGGCAGCAGTTGGAGTGCCTCTCATGGCTCCTGTGTTGCTGAGGCATGCCACTCGCTGGATCTTTTGTAGTCTCTTTACAGCGGTAGTTTGCATTACCTTGGTCCACCAGACCACCGAGCCCATACACCATCAACGGTCTTGCAACCCTAGTGTATTTGTCATTTGTGGGCTTAAGACCCCAGGTCTTCTCAACAGCCCGTCTCATCATCATAAGTTTGGTCTGAGAGCGTTACGTTATAAGTGCCAAATGGCTGTTCCATGTGAGCTTGTCGTCCAGCCTTATTCCTATCCTAGGTACTTGAACTCCCTTTTAACCTGGATCTGATTACCAAAGAGAGTTGGTACTCTAGTGATATCAACATTTTTCTTCCTTGTAAATGGCACCATTACGGTCTTAATTGGATTGACCCTTAGACCTTCCTGGTTACACCACCTCTCCACTATGGACAATGCCTTCTGCATGAGTATGGTTCATTCCTCAGCACCAAATCTAAAAACTAATGGATAACAATAGAATCACAGTCTCATTCAAAACTGATAATAAACTTGGATCTTTGTTAACAAAAACCTCCCCAGACACTTACAGCAACCTTAAAAAAACTGGTGTGTACCAAATCAATTGTAGTGATTGTCCAAAATATTACATAGGCCAGACATCCCACTCTTTTAGTAAAAGGTTTAAAGAACATCTGCCGAAAAGGACTACAGCTGCACAAACTTTGACCATCACAGAACACCTGGTTTCTCTCAACCACAATTACAATAGTATTGACAGTAATATGAAAATCCTACATCTATCAAACGACCGATTCAATAGAAACACAATGGAAGAATTCAAAATCTATAGGGCCGTTAAATTTGACAGCCCTAACATCATCAACTACAAGATTTCATTCCAATCGAATTACATATACGACACTGCAATTAAGATACTGGAGCTAGGGACAGTTGTGAATGAAACTATCAGCTGATCGGGAAATCCAGGCACGACGTCATCACTGACCACGTTGATCCTGACCGGCAGTCTAGACATAACTCCCGCCCAATCACGTCGTGTCCCGTCGGCCTACCGTTTCAGTATTTTTCAGCCCTAAATGTTCATATTTATGTTCGTGTACATGTTTGTGTTTTGTTTATTTATTTACTATCTATTGACAACCTTCGAATGAAGCGAGAAGACATCTTTAACAGCCTGAAGAAGACTCCTATGTGAGTTGAAACCGGTAGCAACTGAGCTACAAACAGGATCGCTAAAATGCAGGTATTTATACCAATTTATAGTAAACAATTTAAGATGATAACATTGTGTGTTGCAGCCGGGCCACTACCTGAGCCATCTGTTTGGCCACGAGGGCCCTGGCAGTCTGTTGTCAGAGCTCAGGTCCCGAGGTTGGTGCAATAGTCTCGTAGGTGGTGTCCGCCATGGCTCCAGAGGCTTCTCATTCTTTGGCATCAACGTTGATCTCACAGAAGAGGGTATTGAGCATGTGGACAGCATTGTGAAACTGGTGTTTCAGGTTTGTCTATTATGTCTATATATAAATCTATTTGCTGTCAATTGTTTGCTATCTTCCTCTACATAGTCTACCAATACAGTACAAAGGTGTGTTTTTAACAATTCATAGCAAAATGATAAAATCCTTATAGTTGTTAAATTACAGTACTTACACGTCTTCAAAACGAACTAGTAATATTGTAATGAATACAATTTAAAATAAGAACATCACTAATATTTAATGACCAGGAGACCGAGCTTTGCTCGGATTCAATAAGCGTTTATTAAAAGGGTTGATTATTAAATCAAAACTTTTGCAAACCTTTTCATTTCCCAGTAGCGTTCGGATAATTTTGTTGTTTATCTTCCCAGTTTCAGCATTAAGTATAGCAAGGATAGCACGGTATTTCAAATTTTCGAATATTGTTCGCCTATAATATATCTCATCTGCCGACATGGCGACTTTATAGGTTTGAGGAATTTTAAACTTCACTGCGCTGACGTTCTTCCAAATGTCGAGCAGCGATTGGTCGACTCTGAAAATGATCAACCTGTTAGTTGTTCATCATATCATATAGTTGCTCGGCCATAAGATCTGAAATTATTTCACTACTTTTGTTCTTCGATACGTGACTTGGGCCGAGGTTCTGAGATATTTGGTGAGATATATGAGCTGGTTGGATCTGGTTCCGTTGTAGACGAAGTGGTAAAATTTGTTTCTCGATGCAGCTTCTATCCCTTGCAGATTCTGTAATTTTTTTCTTTGGAATTCTTCTGCGTTTCATTTTAAATCTTGAAAATTAAACTTGAAAACATTTAACACTAATATTATGTACCTAACAACCTAAATAATACAACTATTCTTAAAAATGTTTAATCCAAACTAACCAATATAGTTATTTTTGTTTACACGTCAAATCAAATTATGACAATAAAAATAACCCGTAACAGCTGTTTTTGTTAACTGCCGCTACAAAAAGGTGTTGCCGATAACATGGGAACTGTCAAGGGCTGTAGGATGGAAACTGGATTTTTCCCAGCCTTGTGAGCAACTCCAATCAATTTCTTGTGGCCAAATACCTCATACTCAACAAAAAAATCTAAGATCCTCAGGAGAAAATAAAAGTTTGCCTGTACTTGCGCTTGTTTTAGAGTAAGTATAGGCTTTAATGTAGGAGCTATAGAAATATTTTTTTTGTTTTTTTTTTTTATTACCTATATTAAAATATCCAAGGTGATCCAATGAAATAACACAGATTAGTAATTGAAAACCTTTTAAAAGCCCCTTTTTGAATATGGATCACTGAGCATGACTGTGTATTACAGATAGCCACAACCCACAACCAATATTTTGGTCTCTCTCAATACAACAATTAATTAAATATTGGTGTTGTTTTTATTTTAAATACAATACAAAATAATGTTTCACAGCTGTGTGTCTGCCTCTGCAGTTTTGAGTAGTATCTGTAATTGCCACTGAGAGCAATTGTATAGTAATTAAATTTGAGACTTACTTTGTCTTCAGACCCTTGTACAGGACCTGGTGCTTGCTACTCCCACAACAAATTGTGACCGCTGATTCTATTTTCTTAAATCTTCACTCAAATTATGGTTATTTTTTACTCTAAGGGAAAAAGTACATTATTAATCTACTGTTACGTTTTACAGTATGTGTCACTGCTGAAGAAAGAAGGACCTAAGGAATGGATTTTTGAAGAATATAAAGATATAATGGCTATGCACTTTAGATTTAAAGATAAGGAAATGCCCAGAAGCTATGTTACAAACATTTGTGGCAATTTGCATGTGAGTATATTCAATCCAATCTATTACTGGTTGATTTTAATTTCTGGAAATTTTTTATACAGTTTACTCTAAATAAACATATCAAACAACTTACTTTTTAGTGAACAAATAATTTTTTCCACAAAATAAAAAAAGACGGATGAATCTGTTCATTAATGTCAAGAAACTCATCAGAAAACTGTCATTACAAATACAACAGGTTATGAAGCAATTATAAAAAGCAATTTGACAAAATTTTAGTAAAACAATGAATTACAGTATATGGTTGATCTGAAGAAGATTTTTGATCTTGAAAGATCTTAAATTAAAAAAAACTAGTGTATTAAGCATTGGAAGTACATTGTGACTTACAAGTTCACAGGGCTTCTACAGATCGAGGAAAAGTAGTGCAAACATGAGACCAGTCTGTTTACAGAATTGGAGGAAATATCTGCTTTCTGTCCCCAATTTTCAACCATCAAGCGGATTTATCCGTCAAACGTCCTTCAACGCCAAAAAATCAAGAGAATGTGACATCTACAATATGACTTTTTAGAGACATATATTTAATGAAATCTGCATGTAAAAATATTCAGCCAAAACTGAATTCAACCCCTCTTTTGTGGTTGAGATGGGGGAACTCGCTACTCAACTATCAATTTTAGAATAACATAAAACTGTCATTCTCAAACTTAAAAAGTTGCTCTTTGGATTAGCCACATTTTGCCACCTCTAAATGAGACATCAGGAATAGATTTCCTTGGTTCAAAATTCCGATTCAATGCATCGAATCACGATCACACAAAACTTGGTCACAAAAGTGGTCATAAAACGATTTGATTCATGAGGGAGTCAGTATCCATATTCGAAAAACGCCTGCAGAAAGTCAATGCAATACCGGCAATACAGGAGCGCGTTGATGTTGCGTTTCCTTTACAAAGGCGTTCTTATTTAATTAATTCTTTGCATGTACATATTGCTTTAATTGTTTTATAATTTTTTGTTTTGACATTGCAAATGAGGAGAGGTTTTGTTTTTTGTCTTGATGTAAGCAGCGTGAGGAATGTTTTACTACTGTAAACATAGCCAAAACAAGATAGGCTACTCCAAAATCATCCTAAAAATAACACAAGTCTGAAAAATTGTTACTTGATACTTAACAAGTAAGATTGTTTTAGACTGATAAATTTGGTATTTTTGTAGGTCTGATTCTATCCTCTCATCAATGCAAACCAATTGAAAGTTTCAGTATAAATCTTACAAATGTTTTGATTTGTTTACACCAAAACATATCTTTATTTGTAAAATCAATATTATAAAATAGGTAACATGCTTAACAATATGATTCGGAAAGTAAAAATTATAAAATAGGCAAGTAAAGCAGCTCACTGACATTTCCAGCAATACGGTTTCTTCTAATATATGATTGAAAATAAATATTTTTTCACCTAAATTTCATATGTTATGTATGAATAGGCCTACCACATCAACAAAAATTTGCATTACACAAATGTGGTAAATTTATTATTGTTAATCCACTCTATTGACAAGTATGAATAGAAAAATGCCGTATTGATTTGAATCGAGTTGCATAGAATGGATTCGAAAATCTTTTGAATGGAATCATTGCTTCAAATCGAAGATTTTCTGCTACTTCGTCCCTATTGGTTTTTGTTTTTATATTAGTGTTCATTATTTTTTGATCAATGAAATCAGTTCAACAATATTGAATGGATTATTTTAAAATGTAATTGTCGTCTTTGAGATTACTTTTGTACTATTATTGTTTATCGTTTGTAACTTTTACTGAATTAACATACAAAACTAATCAGTGTTTTCTTGAGATTAGCTTTAGTTAGTTGATGTTTGCAGGACTATCCCATTGATGAGGTTCTAAGTGGAGGCTATTTACTTAGTGTCTGGCGTCCAGATCTGATTGAAAAAGTCCTTGGATACTTAAATCCAGATAATGTCAGGTAATATTAATATCAAACCTTTTCAGTTGTATTAGTCCATGTTGTATTGTTGTCAGTTGTATTTAGTTCAGTTTTAGTGGCCATTATTAATTGGTGGGAAGGACAGTACCTTAAGTCAACCTTGGCAGAAAAGAAAAGGTGTGGTCTATATTGTAGTTTGGTCTATGTTCACCAAAGACACCCAACTAAAATAGGTGGCTTTTTTCTGTATAATTTATTCTTAGTGGACCAATTGTTGTTGATTTTAGTAACATTTATTTTTTGAGTTTTACTAAGTTGATCAAAAGTTTGTGACAATATATTTTTAGACCCAAGATTTTTTAATCAAATAAATGTCCTAACTTTCAGGGTTGCTGTCATTGGAAAGAAATTTGAAAGTGAAACAAAAGAAGAGGAAAAGTGGTATGGGACCAAGTATAAATTGGAAAAGATCCCTGCTGATGTAATAAAGGTATGTTACAAAGATGCATGAACATCAACTAGCATTTACAATATGTTATTTTATAGGGTTTTTAATGTTTTTATTAATTTACAAGACAGAGATTGTTATGATATTTTGCAAGAAGAACCCTCACAACACATTAAAGGTTGTGCCACACTGCCATCTGCGCCGTAACGTTACAAATATTTTACTAAAAACCCACTTTATTAGCCTCCTTGAAGCTGCAAACCTAGGTACTCATTAAACCTAATGTTATTTAAATAGATTGAATTGAAAATCCTGTGTAGGCTGATATGAGAAAACCCTGAGGGAGTATGTTTTGTCTATGGAAAAACCTAGCAAATTTTCAAATAACGTTTTCACATACATGATATACCTTCATCTCCCTTATTTACATATCTTTTTTCTTTATTTTTGCCATTTTTGCCATTTTTAATTTTAATCTTGAAGTTTCAAAACTACTAATTATTAAATGTAAATGAACAATTTTAGCAAATTTCCCTATAGGGAAGTAGCTATTACCATAGGTGGCATGGTAAGACCTAGGACTGGACCGATTTACTTTTTCATTTTGATGTCCCCAGTGGCCAAAAACACTATTCGTTCAAATTTTTATATACAGGGTGTCACAAAAAAGTGTGATGGGCTATACAGGACCTAATTCTACTTGCAAAAATAAGTCAAAAATGAAGAATAAAGTTTTTTGGATTTCGGCTTAGTTTAGCCGTAATCCGCCATTTTGTTTTTTGGGGAAAATATTTATTATTTCAAAATCCCTTTGATATATTTTTACGAAACTTGGCAAAATTGTTTACACTATAGTAAGTAACATTTATAAAAAAAATTATTATTTTAACTTTCCAAATTTAAAAATGGCGGCCGTTTGAATTTTTTAATGCAAAATTTCATGAAAACCGGTACCTAAATCAACATTTTGTAAGAGACAAAAGTTTTAGTATTTATTATGACAAATCTAACAAAACAAAAATTAATAAAATCGGTTCATAAATAAAGAAGCTGTGTTTATTTTAGTAATTTAGACTGAAATTATTAATATTAAAATGTATTAAATGTAATGTAATAATTTATGTAACGTATTAAGTAATTTCAGTCTAAATTACTAAAATAAACACAGCTTCTTTATTTATGAACCGATTTTATTAATTTTTGTTTTGTTGGATTTGTCATAATAAATTCTAAAACTTTTGTCTCTTACAAAATGTTGATTTAGGTACCGGTTTTCATGAAATTTTGCATTAAAAAATTCAAACGGCCGCCATTTTTAAATTTGGAAAGTTAAAATAATAATTTTTTTTATAAATGTTACTTACTATAGTGTCAACAATTTTGCCAAGTTTCGTAAAAATATATCAAAGGGATTTTGAAATAATAAATATTTTCCCCAAAAAACAAAATGGCGGATTACGGCTAAACTAAGCCGAAATCCAAAAAATTTTATTCTTCATTTTTGACTTATTTTTGCATGTAGAATTAGGTGCTGTATAGCCCATCACACTTTTTTGTGACACCCTGTATATATAATTATATATATATAGATATACTAGCTGTGTGCCCGTTCTACGCTTGGGGATCTTATCGTAATCAATTGAAACCTTCTTATATTAAGAACAGCAGTTGGTTTGCATATTTTCAAATATGCTGGCAAAACTAAACCTTCGCAAATACAGTATCCGACAGTTTCAAGCCAAAACAAATGCTTCGCAGTTATATGTCCCCCGGATCGTGTTGGTCCATATGTTAAATCCAATGATTAAACAAAAAAATGCTATGAGGCATAGCCCTAAGGTAAGCCTATAATTGAAAGTTACTTTCCACAATGGTTAAAAGTTTTTAAGGTACTACCTCAACCTCACAATTTAACACTTTATTTGGGTTGACATTTTCATTATCAGGGTGCTCTTGTCCTTTCCGTGAAACACTGAGAAATAAGGATATTAATGCGTTACCAACAGACATACACACAAAAATACAGAACTTGATTAAAGGGAATTTGCTACGCTTTAAGCATAACAAAGTATCTATAAAATTAGTATTTTAAATCTTTGTTAATGTCATCAAATTTTATCATAAAAATTTATATTTGCTTGGACCGAAGATGACCCGAAATGCTGTAGAAATTACAGCTTACTATATGAAATGAAGTACTATAGACGATTTAGATTGGTAATTTATAATAAAAATAACCAAAATAGGCCACGAACTATTGATACACAAACAACATAAAGCGTTTAAACAATTCATGATGGTTTGCTGAGTAAATGTTTTACTAAAACGCGTTATAGTTTTCTTAGCATAAACTAACATATTGGAATCCAGGCAGAAAAAGCAAAACTTATACAGTTAAGAGTAAGACATCAATTAAATTGAATACACCTGTAATAAATAAGGTGCAACACCAATGATAACTAATTTGTAAACTACAGTGATGTGTCGGTACGTAAAAATGATTCTTGCCAACGGTTCTATGATTAAAAGAACCAGTACCAAAAACCAAAATTTACAGTTACGAACTATATTACATCCGACCAATTATATGCATTAATCAAGGTTATTGATGTCTTGGTTTTGGATTTTCTCGTAAAAAGTTATCGGCAATCAAAGTTATTTCCCATTAATTGCTTTATTTGTGAACAACTTTTAATGTAAACTTATCAGTGTCAGTTTGAAAAAAAAACAACCTTATACAAACAACTTTTTATTTTTAATAGATTACGTATTCTCTAAACAATGATAGGTATATCTTAGGGGTGGGCGAGTACTCGACCTTCGAGTAATTACTCAAGTTTTTTCAAATACTCGACCTCGAGTCGAGTAGTAATTACTACTCAAAAAGTCGAGTCGAGTAGTTATAAATATTGCCACTTCACGATTTTCTACACCCATATTTAATAAATTATATTTTGTTGTGTGTTGATGAAATCAGAAATCAGAAATCCTTTATTGTCCTTAAGCAAAACAATCTTGCAATAGACATAGTCACATATTATGGTAAAATAGGGTTACACAGTAACCCAGTCAGACTAGATTAATAAGCTAATATCACAGACAGGTAAAAATTTAAAAGTTTAAAAGTAAAAAGAAGGCTGTAGGCTGGGTGGAGAATATACTAAATAAACTATTAAACATCAAAACTTAACAACTTTTACATAAAAAAACTCAAGGAACAAAAAGGATGTTCAACAAGCCAGTTGTATAGCCTATCTTTAAAAACCAACTCAGGCAACGCTCTTGACTCAGGATGCAATACATTGAATAACTTTAAGCTCATGATTGAATGGTTACTGGCACATTTACTTAGTCTATGGGATGGAATTTCAAGTAGAGAGTTAGATCTAGTGTAATGAGAATGGAAATCTTTTCTAACAGCCAAGTCTCCTAATTTTAATTTAACATCAAGTAAACACACATATATGTACAGGTTAATGACAGTCAATATCCTAGTTTTTATAAACAAAGGTCTACAATGGGTCTTTGGGAGCTGATTTGGTTACTATTCTAAGTGCCTTTTTCTGAAGTAACAAAACATCACTTATATTACTACCGTTACCCCAGAGAATCAGACCATAGCTTAACACTGACTGAAAAAATGCAAAATAGGCTACTCGGATATATTTCTCAGAAACAACAGTTTTTAACCTATTCACTAAATAAATAACTCTTGACAGTTTTGAACATACTAAATCAATGTGAGCTGACCAAGAAAGGCTGCTGTCAATCAACACACCCAGGACTTTTATGGGCCTAACCTCTTTACAAATTACACCTGAGCCCAAATCTTTGTTTTTAATATGGCAAACTAGGTGTTGTGTCTTGTCTACATTAAGAAGGAGTTTATTGGCACTAAACCAATCCCCAGCTTGTTTCATTGTATGTTCTACAGATAACTTCAACCTATTGAGATCAGGGTGAACAGTTAGGAACGTTGTATCATCTGCAAACATTGTGGTTTGAGAACCCTCAATACTAAGTGGTAAATCATTGACAGAAATCAAAAAGAGTAGGGGACCAAGGACCGAGCCTTGGGGAACCCCAGTTTTAACTTCAATGCACCAACAATGCAACTTCGATGCCTTATTTAATCCCCATTCCTACAAAAACAACTATCTAACCTCATATAGGTTAGACCAGCGTAAACCAAATGTTCAACAAACACCCATCGTCATTCGGCAGAGCTAGCAAGAGGACTACTAACAGAAACAGACTTTCACTTTCCTACAACAGTCAACAATACGTCTCGATAACGATACAGTAAGTTGAAATAAAGCATTGATTGAATATATCGAAGTGCAATAGTCGATAGTCAACAAGGGAGTCTCGTGACTAGTATAACAATGGCAGACGATTCTTGAAGATATTATAAAGTAAAGTACAGTATCAGATTTAGTTTGAACTGCCATAAAAATATTTTAAACCAAAATATAGAAATAACAAAATATTTTAAACCAAAATATAGAAATAACAAAATATTTTATACCAAAATATAGAAATACAACAAATAAAAATAACCTGTTGTAGCATAATATTTTTTCACATTAATCGGTATTGGTGTTTAGTTTTACAAACCGATAAGTTACTACAAGGAACATCGATGGATCTGAATGACGCAATCTCATTGGATCTTGGCAGAAAGAAAAGATCAGTTCCACTTTAAACTCAGTTCAGTGTTGCCAGATGGACGATAAATTGTTGTACTTTTACAACTGTGGTATTGGCGTAAACAAACTATAAGTATAATTTATTTTCTAATCAGTTTACATAAACACGATTAAAATTAGTCAAACTATTATTTATTTTTTACGAAATAAAAGCTATAGCAATTTTGTGCTAATTTTACCGACATTCACCATAATGGTGTAATGATAAATATGGCAACGTCAGCCCTGCAAAACAGCTGTTTGATGGGAAAACAAAGAAGAAGCAGAATGAGCAGACTGACTAGAGAGGAGAGAGTGAGAGAGAGAGAGAGTGAGAGAGAGCAGATATGGTGA